ACTCAAACCGTGTTTAATTACATGGGAGTCCAGTGATGTAGCCATTACACACGCCAACTGATCATGCCTATCCTTCAATCTTTAATAAGGCAAAACACTTGTCTTCCAGATTTTCTTTTTTTAATTTTTAAATTTTTGAATTATTTATCATTACTTTTTTAAAGAATTATTTAATTTGACCAGAAATGGACAGAGTGAGAGAGAGAGGGAAAGTGAAAAAGCAAGCTGCCAGGTCCAGGACTCGGACCCTGGTCGGCCATGTGGGAGTCCAGTGCCTTCAACCGCCATGCCACCTGCCGGCCCCTTATCATTACTTTTTAAAAACAATTATTTTATCTAACTTTATCCTTTTTTCTTTTTTTAAAGAATTATTGTATTGGGAACCAGCAGTTAGCGTAATGGCTATGTCGCTGGACTCCCACGTAGTCGACCGCGGTTCGTGTCCCGGATCCGGTGGCTTAAAACTCACGCCAGGCACGTGTGCGTGCGTGCCCAAGATCCCGAGAGGAGAATGGAGGAGAAGGGACTGCGACGTGACCATCCTCCCTGGGGGGTGATTTCTCACTTTCTGTCTCTATGTCTCTCTCTGTCTGTCTGGCGAGCGCATGCGCCCTACAGTGAAAATCTCTCCAAAAAAAAAAAGAATTATTGTATTTAACTTTATTTTAATTTGACCAGAGAGGGATAGAGTGAGAGAGAGAGGAAAAGTGAGAGAGCAGCCACCAGGTCCGGGACTCAAACTGCAGTCGATCATGTGGGAACTCAGTGCCCTTAACCACCATACCACCTGTCGGATCCTATTTATCTTTATCTTTTTATTTGTTTTTAGAGAGAGATTTTTGCTATAGGGTGCATACACTTGTCACAGATAAAGTAATTCTTTTTTTTTAAAAAAAGGGGAAAACAATTTTTTTGTATAGTGATTGGCATGCCTAACTCCAAGTAAGATAAGAACGTGTCCTAGAGATGTAATCATATTGGGCCCGTGTCCCAACAGCTAAGGGTGCTGGGTTGCAGATGGCTCCCTTCTGGCCACGGTATTGCGTCCAATCGTCCTCAGCTTGGCATCTAGGCTGGCCTGTCCCAGTCTGGCCCCACTATAATTATAGGACGCAATCTCCCATGTTCTGGGTGCTGTTCTGTGCTGGTTAAGACAGTCTCCCAAGTCACCCTTGTACTATCGACACCATGCCCACCTCCAAGGTTCAGCCCAGGCCATTCCTATCCCTAAACCACCTACCTGCTCCTCCTTCTCTATGAACTTTTTTTTTTTTTTTTTCTGGTGCAAGTTTATTCAACACTAAATAATCTCCAACTTTACTGAGGTGGTTGACCACGTCCACTACCCCCTCGGAACTGGAATTCGGTAGCTGACCGGGCCTAGTCTCAGCTTCTTTATCCACACCAGGGGGCACAGACTCCGTCTGCAGGTGTCTCTGTCGAAGCTCCTCCTCCTAGGAGTCTTGCAGGTCGTTCGTCCTCCAGATCTTTGGGTCGGGGCCTGCGTCTCAGGACGGCTTTGGCACAAGATGGCAGGCACAATCTCAGGGGGCAGGTGGAGGTAACCGTGGAGATACTGGATACTGTCATTGGTAAGTTCCAGAAGAAATGTCTCCAGGCAAACTGCTTCTTCACGTATCCTCGAGACTGAAGCGATTGTGCGGCCTTCACAACATGAAGGTTGGGCACATTGTCAGTCAGCTCTGTGCCTGGGCATATGGACATCCTTTCTGGCCACCATCACTCCCTCCTTAAAAAAGAGCTCCTAAGCGGCAATCCGGTGAGGCCGACAGATGGCATAGTGGTTGGGGTGCTGGACTCCCACATGGCAGACCACAGTTTGAGTCCTGGACCTGGCAGCTTGCTTTCAAAAAACTCTGTCTCTCTTTCTGTGTCTCTCTGGTCAAACGGAATAATAATAATAATAAATAAAATGAAAAATAAATGGCAATTCGGTTCTTCTTGGACATCAACATCACGGTGGCTGCAGGGTTCAGGGCTGAGGCTGGAAAGCTTTTTTTTCTTTTTTAATGTCAGAGGGCATGTGTTCATGTCATCAGAAAGATAGAGATAGAGGTCTCCACCCTCGATGGGACCTGGTCACAGCTCTATCCCCTTCCCCCTATTCCTCCAGGACATCTGGAAACTGGGCACATATTTAAGCTGCCGGGATATGAACTGCAGTCAGCCATGTGGGAACCAGCTCCCTTAAGCACCAAGCGACAGGGCTGGCCTGTCTGTGACCTCTTTAAAGGCAGGGGCTGAGTTAGCTGCATCTTTGCATCACCAGAATTTAGTGCAATATACCGAACAGGGTATGATAAGCTCTCCACAAACGTTTGTGGAGTAAAGTCAGTGCACTGACACCGGGGACCGTCGAAGCATTTCTAGCCTTTACAACACAAAGTCACACATAATTCTGGGCAGCCTTTTTTTTTTTTTTTTTTTTTTCCTGCCTCTTTTTTAACATATTCTCTTAACATTTTCCTGACTAGAACTTTTTTCCTTCAATAATACTATGAAGCATTCAAAATATTTCTTTCTTTTTTGGTGAAGTTTTCGCTATACAGCGTGTGCACACACCATAAAGACAGAGACAGACAGACAGACAGACAGAAGGCGAGAAATCACCCCCCAGGGGGATGGCCACGCCACAATCCCTTCTCCATTCTCCTCTCGGGATCTTGGGCATGCACGCACACGCCTGGCTTGAGTTTAAGCCACCGGGGTCTAGGACTTAAACCGCCGTTGACTACATGGGAGTCCAGCGACATAACCATTACGCCAAAATATTTCTTTATTGAGGGAGTCTTGAAGTCTTCCAGAAATGAAGAATTCACGGGAAAAAGTACTTTTAAATAATCTTTCCTCTTCCGGGCCGCAGATGGCGTGGTGGTTAAGGGTGCTGGACTCCCACATGGGTGACCAGGGTTTGAGTCCCAGACCTGGCAGCTTGCTTTCTCTCTTGCTCTCTCAATCTCTCTTCTTCTCTGGTCAAATTTAAATAAATAAATAAATGTAAATAAAACAAGCTGTCGGTTCAGTAACTGCAGCAACGCATTGGGGACACCTCCCGCCCCCACCCTGAGCGACACGCACCTTCTGGGCGTTTTCTCGCTCTGCCCTGCGGTGAGAGCACGATCCCGCCCACTTCCGGCAGGGGCATCCAGGGCGCAGGCGCAACTGCAGTCGTCATTCAGCAACAGCCCGGGCTAGTGCTGATGTATGCGCATGCGCACGGGGGAGGGACCGGTAATTGCGCGGGAGACTGAGCCACCGAACTCTCGAGACGGCCTCCGCCCTACTACATAGGCGGGCGGAGGAGTCGCCTCCGGCTTCGAGCGGCGCAGGCGCACTGAGCGCCGGAACGTGGCGCGGCACAGGGACGAGCTTTACGCATGCTCATTTAAACGGGGCGAGCCGCTTCCTAACCTGCCTTCTAGCTCTTAACCCGCCTGACTTTTAAAGGGCCAGAACATTGTTTCTGCTCTTTTTTTAAAAAAAAAAAATCAATTTGTTTTATTGTGATAAGAACTCTTAACCTATGGTCTACCCACGTAAATCTGTAAGTGTATAATTTTTTTCTTTTTTATTTATTTTAATTTGACCAGAGAGGGGGGATAGAGTGAAAGAGAGGGAAAATGAGGAAGCAAGCCACCAGGTCCAGGGCTCGAAATGCAGTGGGCCATGTGGGAGTCCAGTGCCCCCAACCACCATGTCTATCGGTAGTATTGAACTGCTTTTTAGGGCCAGCCGGTTGTGTGGTGGTTGAGGTGGCTGAATTCCACATGGTTGAATGAGTAGTTTGAGGCCTGGAACCAGAAGCCTAAAAAAACGCCTTACCAGGCGCATATGGATTCATGCTCAAAATCCTGAGAATAGACTGGAGGAGAAGGGGCCTTTCCGCGCTACCCGCCCAAGGGTCCATACCGTGTTGTTCTGGGTTCGCGTCCTAACTTAAAGGGAAACTTGCAAGATGTCCGGCGCCCTTGATGTCCTGCAGATGAAGGAGGATGTCCTCAAGTTCCTTGCCGCAGGAACCCACTTAGGTGGCACCAACCTTGACTTCCAAATGGAGCAGTACATCTAGGAAAGGCAAAGTGATGGCCTCTCCATCATACATTTGAAGAGGACCTGGGAGAAGCGCAGCTTGTGCCGTTGTTGCCATTGAAAACCCTGCCCACGTCAGTGTCCTGACTTCCAGGAACACTGGACAGCGGGCTGTGCTGAAGTTGGCTCCTGCCACTGGGGCCACTCCTATTGCTGGTCCTTCACTCCTGGAACCATCCCTAACCAGATCCAGGCAGCCTTCCGGGAGCCGCGTCTTCTGGTGGTGACTGATCCCAGGGCCGACCCCCAGCCTCTCACAGAGGTGTCTAGTGTTAATCCACCTCCCATTGCCCTGTGCAACACGGATTCTCCTCTGCGCTGTGTGGACTTGCATTCCCAGGCAACAAGGGAGCTCATTGGGTGGGTTTGATGTGGTGCGTGCTGGCCCGGGAAGTGCTGCGCATGCGTGGCACCGTCTCCCGTGAACACCCGTGGGAGGTCATGCCTGACCTCTACTTTTGCAGAGATCCGGAAGAGATCGAAAGGAGGAGCAGGCTGCAGCTGAAAAGGCTGTGATGAAGGAAGAATTTCAGGTGAATGGACTGCTCCAGCTCGTGAGTTTACTGCTACTCAGCCTGAGTTGCAGACTGGTCCTAAGGCGTGCAGATGCCCTCCGTGCCCACCGCGCAGTTCCTCACTGAAGACTGGAGTGCTCACCTGCCACCGAAGACTGGTCTGCAGCCCCTACTGCTCAGGCCACTGAATGGATGGGAACAACCACTGAGTGGTCTTAAGTCTGCTCTTCACAGACTCTTATACAAAGTGGAAATAAGGTTGATAAAGAAAATAAACAACTGTTTATTAAAAAAAAAAAAAAAAGAACGGAGGAGAAGGGACTGTGGTGTGGTCATCTTCCTGGGGAGTGATTTCTCTCTTGCCCCAGAGAGCACATGTGCCCCATGGTATAAAAAAATTTTTTTTTCAGTTTGACTCAGAGCAACAGAGGACCTGAACCATGGTAGGCCATGTGAGAATCCGACACCTTAACCACTACGCTACCTGCCGGGCCCTCCTATGGTATACAATTATTTTGAAAAGAAAATCAAGGGCAATTTTTAAATTACTGTTGTAAATTAAGTATTACTGAGCACCTACTATGTTTCAGACCCAAGTTACATTGTCTCCTGCGTGCATTTTCCAATTTTTGATTTTATAATCATTACATTCATATATATTTGCATAACTCTCTTCCCCCATGGAAATGTTCTATTCCCATGAAGGCAATTCTGTGACATGAGAGGAATGTAGTGTTTTGGGCAAATCTTATTAGATCAAGGGTCTGAGACTAACCCTTGGTTGACTAGGCCACTTTGTTGCTCTTTTCCTCTGAATATGTTGCCTAACTTTCATGAACTTGAGTTTGCTGGATTTTCTTTTTTGCTATATGGCATATGCACCTGTCTGAGAGAGACACAGAGAGAGAGAAAGTAAGTAACCACCCCCCAGCAGGGAGGATGGCCACACCGTAATCCCTTCTCCTTCATTCTCCTGGGATTTGGGCATGCATGCACACCCACTCAGCTTGGTTGTCAAGCACTAGATCTGGAACTCTAACCACTGCGGGTGGTGGGTCCTTTGGGAACCCAGCACCTTAACTACCATGCCACCTGCCAGCCCTGAGTTTGCTGATTTTTAAAATGAGGATAATGGGGTCAGCAGATGGTGTGGAGGTTAAAGTGGCTGGATGACTGACTGCAGAACTCACATCCTGGACTGGAGGCTTGAAAAATCACACTGGTTTGGGGCCCAGCTGGTGGTGTGGTGGTTAAAGGTGCCGAATTCTCACATGGTTGACCGCACACAGTTCAAGTCCCGAACCTGTTGGCTTGCTTTCTCACTTTCCCTCTCTCTCTCTCTCTCTCTCTCTCACTCTCACTCTGTCCTCTCTGTTCACATTAAAACAAATAAATAACTAAAGTAAAAAAAGAAAAGAAAAATCACACCAGACATGTGTGCATTTGTACCCCAAAAAAAAATCCCAAAAGGAGAACAGAAGAGAAAGTATTGGAGTGTGGCTACCCCCACCCCCCAGGGGTGCTTCCTCTCTCTCTCTTGAGCGCACATGCCAACAACAACAAAAAGAGGATAATGATACCTACCAATCTCATAGGATTTTAATTATTTATTTATTTATTTTATTTTTAGAAAGATTTTTGCTATAGAGTGTGCATCCTTGCTTGAGAGACAGAGAGAGACAGAATGTGAGGGACCAACAGTTGGCATAATGGCAACGTTGCTAGACTCCCCTGTAGTCGACTGTGGTTCAAGTCCTGGACCTGGTGGCTTAAACTTACGCCAGGCATGTGTGCGTGCGTGCCCAAGATTCTGAGAGGAGAATGGAGGAGAAGGGATTGTGGTGTGGCCATTTCCCCTGGGGGGGGGGGGATTTCTCGCCTTCTGTCTCTCTCTTTTTCTCTGTCTTCTATAGCAAAAACCTCTCCAAAAAAATAAAAAGAAAGGAAGAAATCACTTTCCCTGGGAGGATGGCCATACCACAGTCCCTTCTCTGTTCTCCTCTTAGGATTTTTTTTGGGCACAAATGCACACATGTCTGGCGTGATTTTTCTTTTTTCTTTTCTTTCTTTTTACTTTATTTATTTATTTATTTATTTATT